GCACTCTACCTCTGAGCCACCTTCCCAGCCCCCTCCTTCTTTGTTCTTTCCCTTCTCTTCCTCCCTTCTTCTCTGTCTCTGTCTTTCCTTTTGGGTGGAGTCTTGCCATGAGGCTTAGGCTGGCTTTGAGCTTAAGAGCTCAAGGGATCCTCTTGCCTCAACCCCCAAAGTATCTGAGGCTATACAAACATCTACCATATTGCACTCGGCTGGAAAGAATTTTTAGAGTTTTGGGGGGTTTGGGTTTTAGTTGTAGTACCATCCTGAGACTTAAACTCAAGGCCTGAGCTTCTTTTCCCTCAAGGCCAACATTCTACCAATTGAGCCACAGCTCCATTTCCAGCTTTTGTTGGTTAATTGGAGATAAGAGTCTCACAGACTTTCCTGTCTAGAGTGGCTTCAAACCACAATCCTCAAATCTCACCTTCCTGAGTAGCTAGTATTTCAGGAATGGACCCCTGATGCCTGGCTTGGCATAAATATTCTTAGGAAGGTCATTACACAGAGGCCAAAGCCTACTAGTAACTGAGGATGACAGTTAAGAGCCTGAAGGCCCTGTGTGCCTCATCAAATTCCACTACACAGACTAATGTAAGATGAAATAAAACACTATGCCTTACTGGATTAGAACTCTCTGTATACAAATGTACCAGATCTACCTATGAAACCTGATAAAATTCAAGTCCATGCTTAGTTCTTTATGGCGAACAGTAACACAGATGAGAAATTTTTAGATCAAATTTGAAAAGGACTAAACTTTCAAAGAAATTGGAGACTGATCGTCTCTTGGTCTTGCTGTCAATCATGTTCCTGATGCTGGCTAGGATCCCCAGGGTGTCTTCTGTTCTAAGAGAGAGAACATATTGCTTTCTCCTCCAAGCTGTGGCTCTCCTTCGAGGAAGCAGAATTGAAGGTGGGCACTGGTAGCTCACACCTGAAATCCTAACTACTCAGGAGACTGAGATCTGAGGATCACAGCTGGAAGCCAGCCCAGGCAGGAAAGTCCATGAGATTCTTACCTCCAATAAAAACTACCCCCAAAAAGCAGTCTGAAGCTGTAGCTCAAATGGTAGAGCTCTAGCCTAGAGCACAGAAGCTCAGGAACAGTGCCCAGGCCCAGAGTTCAAGCCCTAGTCCTGTTGTTGATGTTTTTTCCCATTTGCCTAGCTTATTTGCCCAAGAAAATCTACCCTACTTTTCCAGGAAATACTTCTTCAGCAGTCCATTGGCTGGGATATCAGCCTGGCTTCTTAGGTCTGGGGTCACCAAAGTTGAGAATGTATAACTAAACTTTCTCTTTGTACTAACTAGCCATGGTCAAGTTCAAATTCTACACCCTGGAGGCTACACTTCTATATGGCAGCTGTTGACTAGAACCCTTCATCTCAGAGATTTCAAGGGCCTTCAAAAGGGAGAACCAAACAGGGTCTCAGTCACTGACACTGCCGCCATCCTCATCATACCACTTCATATAAGGCACAGAAGAAGTAGGAAGAAAACCTATGGTCTGGTTTTCAGTGCCTTTTCCTGACTCATACATGGTATTGCTGTCTTCTTTTATATTCAAATTTCTCATTTCAAATTTTATAGGATGAGTAATAAACCAAAAAACCCAAGGAAATCCTAAACAAATTAGATGGAAAATAACATTATCTTCCCTTAATGCCTTTTAAATAAACATAAATGTGTATTAGACATGTCTCCTTTTAATTCAGACAGGCCTTGAGGTCACCTGGAAGGAAGGCAAAAAAAAAAGTAATTAATTTTCTCTCCTGCTTGACATCATCTTTAATCTTTCTTTTTCTTGAAGTCTGTCCTTGGCTTACACTGCAGGCTCTATAAAGGAAGAAAGCTTGCCTTGAACCAACCTGCCTTTCCTGAGGCCTCGTCACTCTGTGTGTACCACGCCTGTGTGCAGCTCTGCAGATGTTACTCTAGGTCAGGTCTGTTCACCCAGGACGTGCTTTGCAAGCACCAACCTCAGTATATTGGCAAAATATTTTCCCTCCATTAAAATATTCACAACCCCAAGTCAAAGCTCACTCTACAATAATCTGCTTCAGATTGAACTTCTCCCATCTGCTAATTCTAGTTTAGCCAAATTGGAAAATGTTTAATTACTGGCTTATCGAAAACCATCTCAAGATGTAATACTTACATTTCTTTTGTGTTTTTTTTTGTTTTTTATTATTAATAAGGTTTTTATGGTGAAAATACTATACAGAGGGGTTACAATTATATAAGCAAGGTAATGAGTACATTTCTTAGCAAGCATTGTTGCCTTCTCCTTTGTTTCCCCTTACCATCCCTGTGCCCTACCATTTCCCCGCTCTGCCAAAGTTGTAAAGTTCGTTTTCAACATAGCATCTTGTACATTTCATTGTTGCCATGGGTCCACCTGTACTCCTATTTAAACCATTTGTTTTTTCCCTTCCCCTCCCCAAATTATAACAACATCAAATACAGTGAAAACAGTGGTAATACTGTGGGGGAGGGACATACAAAGCAACATAAAAATCATCTTATAAATATGTTAGAAACAATAGCAAGAAAGAAAAACCATTTGAGTCCTTATCTTGGGGTTCATTTTGCCTAACATCAACTTATCTGACCTTTTCTGCTTATCTCAGACATATACTAGTTATTGCAAATAAGAGAAACCATGGGACCTATGTTTCTTTGGGCCTGGCTCACTTCACTTAATAAAATTTTTTCCAAGTCTTTCCATTTCCTAACAAATGGGACGATGTCATTCTTTCTGATGGAGGCATAGAATTCCATTGTGTATATATACCACATTTTCTTGATCCATTCATCTACTGAGGGGCATCTGGGTTAGTGCTATATCTTAGCTATAGTAAATAATGCTGCAATAAACATAGTTGTGCTGGTAGCTTTAGTATGGTCTTGTTTGTGATCATTTGGGTAAATGCCCAAAAGTGGGATTGCTGGGTCATAGGGGAGCTCTACGTAGAGTCTTTTGAGGAACCTCCATACTGCTTTCCAAAGTGGTTGAACAAGTTTATACTCCCACCAACAATGCAGTAGGATTCCCTTCTGGCCACATCCCCTCCAGCATCTGTTGTTATTAGAGTTCTTGTTTATAGCCATTCTAACTGGGGTGAGGTGGTATCTCAGTGTTGTTTTGATTCGCATTTCTTTTTTTTTCTTTTTTTTTTCTTTTTTTTTTTTTTTTTGCCAGTCATGGGGCCTGAGCTCTGGGCCTGGGCGCTGTCCCTCAGCTCTTCAGCTCAAGGCTAGCACTCTACCACTTGAGCCACAGCACCACTTCTGGCTTTTTCTGCTTATGTGGTGCTGAGGAATCGAACCCAGGGCCTCATGCATGCAAGGCAAGCACTCTACCACTGAGCCACCTTCCCAGCCCGATTTGCATTTCTTTTATGGCTAGGGAGGTTGAGCATTTCTGCATGTGTCTATTGGCCATCCTTCTTTCCTCTTCAGAGAAGTTTCTCTGTCTTTAGCCCACTTATTTATTGAGCAGTTGTTTCTTTGAGGATTTGTTGTTGGGGGATTTAATTCTTTGAGTTCCAGGTATATTTTAGATATGATACCCTTGTCCATTGTATGGCTAGTAAAGATCTTCTCCCAATCTGTGGGCTTTCTATTGATCTTGCTAGCTATGTCTTTTGCCATGCAGAAGCTCTGCAATTTCATGCAATCCTATTTGTCCAACCTTTCTTTGATTTGTTGTGTTTCTGGGTCTCTATTAAGAAAATTCAGCCTTTGCCAAGGAGACCTAGGGTTTCTCCTATTCCTTCCTGTAATGTTTTCAGGATGTCTGCTTTGACTCCAAGGTCTTTGATCTATTTGGAGTTGATTCTGGTACAGGGTGATATATAAAGATCTAGCTTTAGTTTTCAACAAGTGATTAACCAATCTTGCCAGCACCATTTACTAAAGAGGCTGTCTTTCTTGCATTCTATTTTTTTAGCTCCCTTATCGAAGATTAGATGGCTATAGGTCTGTGGGTTCATTTCTGGGTTTTTCAATTCTATTCCATTGGTCCTGAAGACCGGACAGATACTCACTAAATTCTTATAAATTTTTCCATGGGTCCTTTGAAAAAATGAGCATAGAATTATTTGGTACCACAAGGATCACTAAATACATATGCTTGCAAGTTCTATTTTAATATAAAGTTCTCTTCATTAAGTAGTTAATACTGTCTGTCATCATTTGCTTTTGTTATGCAACTGACTGGCATGGTTGCTTAGGCATTGTCCCAGCCTAGTGTCTTACCCTCAGCAGTCCCTCTACCCCTCTACTCCATCCCTTCTGTCTATGTATTGGTTGTTCCTGGCTGACCAGACTCCTGAAATCTAGACAGTTCTCAAATCTAAACCAGTGGCCTACAGCATCAGCACTGTTCTTCCAAGTGTTCTGTGATGCTTAAGAGCTTAAGGATACTGGCTTTCCCACTCCTCTCCCTCCCTCCCTTCTTCCTCATACCTTTCTTCCCTGTCTCCCTCCCTCCCTTCCAACCCTGTTGCTTCAGGCAGTCAGACATGCCTCCTCTCTCTTAAAAGAGAATATCCCAAATATATCCCATCCTCCCTGAAGCTAGATATGGTCATATGAGAATGCATCCTCCTCACTCTTTTCTTATTCCTTTTCTTGGCACCCTTTGCCTCAAGGATGAGAAGCATGCCCTGGGGTACAGAGAAACCATGGGAGCCAGGGCTCTGGTCCCCAGAGAGTACAACTATTCTACCCCCTGATCCATGCTGAGCTCAGAGAGTGACTGGTTGGAGGTCACAAAGACAGACAATGGGTAGAATTAGACAAAAGCCCAGGACCAGGCTGAACACTCACTCAGCATGCAACTTGGTAAATTATAATCAGCTCAGGCAGAGTAGGTTCTAACAGACTCCATGTCCACATGTTCATGGTAGCCTCTGGCCATCTTAGTTCAACTTCGCCACCAACTGCTCCGTTCTGCAAAGTCAAATTTTTTTTCTAGGAGCTTGACTCATACAAACCTTGTTTGCGATTGCCTTTCTCCTCCCGAAGCACTGAAACTTCTCTTTAGTATGCCTGAGACAAGGAAATAAAGGTAATTTTAAATTCTTTCCTCTAGAAATCTTTTTTTAAAAGATTGTGTCTCTGTTATCTAGACAATTATATATATTGTAAACATCACTTTTGTCCAAGAAAGCATTAGCTAAAACGCAATGTTGGTAGGTTTAAGTGCCATTTTTCTTCAAGACAAGAGGTAAACCAACAAAAATTGGTATTAATAGTTATTAATAATAATAAACACAACAGCATATCTTTAGGATGTCACTGTCATGCATAGCCTTTACCAAGAGCACAACATCTTCCCACACACAAATTTAAGGGTCTACGTTTTCCTTCTTGCATCTCTACTGCCTCTCCCCACTAGCTACCAGACAGAGATAAACCACACCAAAAAGCAATAACTGCTTCTAGAATTTTCTAGACCTGTTTATAAGCATGAAAAGTTTTTCCTTGATGACATTTATGGTTTCTCAATTGCAAATTATGTTAGTTTATCTACACAGGAAAGAACTAACTTGGAATACAAGACAGATTATTGGCCATTCTACTTGTCCTAGAAAATCTGGATGGTCTAGATACCATTTTGATGGGCTAAAATTATGTATTTAAAAAGACAAAGAACAGCTGGTTGCCAGTAGCTCACCCCTGTAATCCTAGCTACTCAGGAGGTCTGAGGATCTGAGGATCATGGTTCAAAGCCAGCTTAGGCAGGAAAGTCTATGAATTTCATATCTCCAACTAACCACCAAAAAGCCACAAGTAGAGCTATAAATATAGCTCAAATGGTAGAGTCTTCCCTTGAGTAAATAAGGTAAGGGACCGTTCCCAGGCCCTGAGTTCCAGTCCCAGGACCAGCACCAAATAAAAAGACAAAGAACATGGCTAAATTCTCAGGGTTTTAATTTTTATCTGTATTGAGACTCTTATACCTCCTGTTTTGAGATGTTTCACAGTATAGTCAATGAGAAGACAGAATGACTTATGCTTGATTGATTTTAGAGTATTTCCATCTATAATTTTTTAGGCTCTATTAGCTCACTATTTTGACAGAATTATTTTTCTCCATTTTTACATCTATTTTCTTTCCATTTTAGGTTAGTTTAATTGCCTTTGACCCTATCTCCTCTTCTCATCTTTAAACTCTAAATATCTCTCTTCCTCTTTTTCCCCATTCCCCATTCTCAGCACCACTACTTTATTTTCTTCAAATTAAAACAAGCAGGGCTGAATTTATATGCCACGCTTTGTATAGTTTGAAAATGATATTTTTAAACTTAGGATTTTGAGTGCAACACATAATTTTCATTAATGCAAATAAATTATGCAATAGTATACAATAGGTTTCTTTCTCTCTCCCCAGGATTAGGGCTTAAACTCTAAGCTTCAAGTACTTGCTTAGTTCACTCTAGGCTGGTGCTCTACCACTTGAGCTACACCCCCCATTTCTGGCTTTTGGCAGGTTAATTGGAGATGATTGTCTCATAGATTTTTCTGCTTTGAACGGGATCCTCAGGTCTCAGCCTTCTGAGTAGCTAGGATTATAGGCATGAGCCACTGGTACCTAACTTCTTTTATAGGTTTCTAGGCCCTTTAATCAGCACTCATGAACGCATGTCACTTCTAGCATTTCTGGAATTATTTAATGGCCTTCAGATTGATTATCTCAGCCCCTCAGTTAGAACCTTTTTCTGATGATAGATATAATAAAACTATTCCTTTGAAAGCTGAGGAAATGCGAAGCCATGGTGCTATCTGCCCTTTGGGCTCCATCAGACAGACCAGATACACCTGTCCCCTTTAGCACTGCAACTGATATGCAAATCACAGGCTATCTCTGTGTGATCCCAAGCTACTTGCTGCTGGAATCCAAGAAACTTGAGGCGGGTGAGGGGAAGCTTACTGAATGTCGATTCTTTCAAAGGGCTTGAGCTGGAGCTGCTGAAGTTATCTGAGATGTCCAATTCATCATCCAGCTCGGAATATAAATCTGTGCATGAATAAAAAGCAAAAGGCAAATGAGCCTTGAAAATGAAAGGAGTTGGGTGCATTCACGCCGGCCCCTTTGCATATAAAGTACCTTTCTCAATACTCTCCAGGTGGAAGTGGTCATCTGACAGTATTTCCTCACAGACCCGGTCCTCTTCCTTCCCACAGGGGGGCTGGAAGCCTTCGGAGGGCAGGTCTGCACTTTCTGAAAGCTCACTTTTCAGGCTGGCCGCCCCACTGCTGCTGCTACTCAAGCTTGCCTTCTCAAAGGGTTCCTGGAAAAGAGAAAGTCAAGTTTCCATATCTCTTCCTCAGGCCTTCCTTCTTCAGCACCCGAAGCTTGTTAGAATAAATGCTGAAATGACCACATATGTGATAAATACCATATGCATTTGCTGTGAGGCCCAGACAAGGTTGGAGAAACTTTTCCCTGCCAACAGTCATTTTGGTATTTATAACATCATTCAGTATCATACAAAATTATCAATATAGGCAGATGGGCCATGAGTAGCCAAAGAGAAGCATCGTGTGTCTACCCTGTCATGTACCAAATCATTTTGAGAGCCTTATGTGGCCTTTGGGCCAAACGTTCCCTACCCTTGATAATCCATAAATACAAAAAGTCCATAAATAGCAAAAAACAAGTGTGCAGCCTGGCACTGGTGGCTCATGCCTATAATCCTAGCTACTCAAAAGACTGGCGATTGCAGTTTGAAGCCAACCCAGGTAGAAAAGCCTTACCTCCAATTAACCACCCAAACCAGAAGTGGCCCTGTGTCACAAAGTAATAAAGCACTAGCCTTGAACAAAAGAGCTCAGGGACAGTGCCTGGCACTGAATTCAAGCCCCACAGCTGAGAAAAAAAATAGTAGGTGGGTAAGCTCCCACTGGATAAAAGAAAAAGATGTAGGCACCCAAGATAGGGTGTCTGGTGACAAAGGCCTACATGATATGGTAGAAAAAATTAGACTTCATTTTTAAAAATAAATGTTATTTTTAATGTTATTACAAAGATGCTGTACAGAGGGGCTACAATTACATAAGTCAGGCAATGAGTACATTTCTTTGTGGACAATGTTACCCTTTCCCTCACTTTCTACTGGTTTTTCCTTCCCTCCACCACCGGCACAAGTTGTATAGTTCATTTTCCACATAATGTCAGGTGAGTACCCTTTGTCCCTCCCCCAGTTTTGTGTCCCCCCCCTTACCTGCCCAAAGACAAATGAACAAACAAGACAAAAAGAAAACAAAATCAACAACAAAGCAAAAGCTTCATTTCCATTGAAAAATATATATTTCTAAGGAATAGATTATGAATTTAGCTTTTTCTAAAATACTTGTTATGAAGTCCTCTCAGTACCACCATAGACAAGAAAGGCTTGTTTTCCTCAACGTTCAAAAGAAGTGTTAAGACAAATCCAGGCCCTGAAGATGAGGAGCAGCAGGGAGAAGAACTTAGAAACCACTTGAGACTCCAGTTACCACCAGCTTCACGGCGGTAGGAACACTGAACTTGCTATTATAATTCCACCTGATGACACCCATTCACTCTCTTATTGGAAATTGTAGAAAATATGGCTAACGTTCAATGAAAATAAAGAAAAGAAAGAATTCGTTCATGATAGGCTGAAAACCCCCAAGAAACAGACATTGGAGAACTACATGTGACTCAGAAGACAAATACACCTTGTTGTTTTATCACTCACTTCCTAAAACGCTTACTGTATGACCCAGGTAACTGGGATGCTCTTGGATGGCCTTGGTAACTCTCATTACCTAAGACATTCATTGCATAACACAGGTGGCTAACCACCTAAGAGGCTCTAGGGACTGAAAAGAAATCTGGTGATGCACCTGCATATGAAACTGGACTTCTCCCATTCTCTTCCCCCTTGGCATGTTGAAAAGCTCATCTCTCTTGAAGATGGTCAATTCTTTGATGATAGTCACTGGCCAACGGCAGAAGATGATTGGACATTTTTGATCTAAACATTACAACCATTATGCTGTGCTCAAAACACTCCCCCAACACATACAAGTATTTATACCTGTAAAATGATTTGAATTGAAAATATACAGATTTAGGAAATGGAATGTGGCTGCTGTCATCTTTTTCAAGAGAGACATGATTTGTGGAGTCAGGGGAGGGAGCAACTGCATCTCCAAGGAATGGGTGGATATTCTTACATCAATACGGCAGCAAGGAGAACACAATGAAAATCAGGCTGTAAAATTTCATTGCTAAGGAAATCACTATTATTACAGAACACACTTCCTATCACTCTGTTCCTTGAGGCACAATTCCGTTTAACTCAGTTTTACTCATTATAATGTAATTTTTTTTGCTTGGGTAGCAGATAATAATACATTTTTAGTTCAATAGTAATTCTAACAGTAACAAACTGATGTTCCTCGAATTAACTGTGATGGTAAGGAATTAAGAGAGGCCATTTTATTAAAACTAGTGCAATTTTTTAATTGCCCACAATATTGGTTTTACAAGGAGGGAGAAAAGCAAGAACTAAATATGAAGCATTACACCAGACATATCCTAAATTCTTAAGACTATTAAAAAATATACAATTTCTCTGTGCTCTGAAATAGTCTCTTCTACTTGCCAAATCTCTGCCAGTTTCTTCTGTTTGTTTAGTTAATAACTGTCCTTAAATACATAAACTTAAAAGCTTCTGAAAGAGTGACAGCAATCCATCTGGCTGACGTGACAGTGACCAAACAAAACCACATTCTCTGCTTTTCATGGATGCTAGCACAAAGGAAAGTCAGAGTACGAAACATTACTGACTACATGCTTGGACATAAGTTTGTCCCTAAAGTTTCTTTAAAACTCAGTAAGTGTGCTCAAATCACTAAAGGAGTCACGTAGACGAGGCCTTCTGGAGGACCTGGCCCACCTCAGCAGGTGCAGGAAGGAGCTGGTGCCCTGGCCTCCACCCTCTAGGAACCTTGGCTTTGCCAACAGGTGGAACAGAGCATACTTTCAGTGCCCCCATGTAGCCGAAGGGGTTCAGATGCAGTGTTTGCATGATACTATGGCCTAATTTATCTTGGGAACTCCAAAGCCTTTCCCTTCTCCTTATGCTGCCTATGTCAAGGGAGAGCAATAAAGCTACTAGAAAAATTGGCAGTTGTGAAGACTAAAAACAGCTACATTTTATAAGGGCTATAGAATACAAGAAATTTTTTTCTAAGTTTAAGATTTTATTTATTATTTAATAGTGAATTTAATTGACATGTTCACACTGAACTAAAAGGTTTTGCTACCATCATGCAGCTATGATGCTGTTAGAATTTACTTAAAACATGAGACTGTATGAAGAAACACTAAAATAAATAAGCTAGAGAATGGATTGATCACTAAAATTAACTCTAAAAAGCCATTATCGAATTTGCCACCATTGGAAATGTGTCATTGCTACTCTATCATTAACCTTGTTTCAAAAATGGACAGATAAACTGGGTGCCAGTGGCTCATGCCTGTAATCCTAGTTTCTCATCAGGCTGAGATCTGAGGATCACAGTTCAAAGCCATCCTGGGCAAGCAAATCTATGAGACTCTTAGCTCCATTAATCACCCAGAAAGGCAAAAGATGAGGCGTCACTGACAGTAAAGCGCTAGCCTTGAGCAAAAAAGCTAAGAGACGGCATCCAGGCCTTGAGTTCAAGCCCCAGTATTAGCCAAAAATAAAAATAAAAAGGATAAGTAACTTATTTGTTAGTCTTAATGCAAATACAGGGTTTGGGTGTTGTTGGGATTTTTAGAAATTTTTCTTCCCTACTAAAGGGCAGAAAACAGTCTCAAAATCTAAACTTTCATTTGTTAAAAATACAGAAGATATAATCTACAACAGCAATGCTGACTGTCACATAATTTCAAGACTGAAGACTCGTGAGCATTTGAGATAAAGTCAGTATAAGGCATTCTCTCTAACATATAAAAGAAACAATGCACGGAGTCCACCAAAAGGGGAACTTTTAGAGCATCGAAACTTGGATTTCTCAAAAGCAACAAATGCAACATGAGAAAACCTGCCTTGCTTAAGACACTAAGGGGTGTGGCATCAGACATGGATGCTTACCAACATCTGTGAGCCCCACAAATCAGAGCCCCACTCACTGTTTGATTTTGAAGAGAGAAATGGATAAAGGTTGAGTTTTAGCTAAACACCAAATGCATTAAATGCCAGCAAAGAAAATCAGTGGCCATCATCATTGGCTTGGACCATTGCAATATTCTGCCCTCCAACATCCCTGATTCTACTCTTGGCTCTCAGCCACTGTAAAACATCTTACAATGAATGTCACCTGTGGCTTTTTCAAAAGTCCTACCACTTGAGTCTCTACCATGAAGGATAGCACCCTCACCTTCTTCTGTCTTTTCCTATCTTTTATTTATATATTATTTGTCTCCTCCAACTATGAAATAGGTAATCAAGGGGCCAAGACAGTCCCCAGAAAAGGAATTAAATGTTCAATAGATTTTGTTGAATAAATAAAAGATTTTAATATATTAAGGATCTTCTCTCCATGCTAAAACAAAAGGTAAACATTTAATTTGTTGCATGATTATTTTAAGAAATTGACAGGCTGATTTAAAGCTAGTAAGGAAACAGAGCATAACTAAAATAGTCAACTGAAACTTGACAAAGAACTAACTTGGAAGACTGGCACAACTTGGTTTCAACACTTAAGAAACAGCTACAAATCCAAGAACACAGTTCAGTGAGATAGAACAAGTTCATAAGATCTGTTCTATATTATAGTAAAAAAAAAATTTTAATCTACAACAATTGGTAATATTCGCCAGGTGCCAATGGCTTATGCTTGTAATCCTAGCTACTCAGAAGTATGAGATCTGAGGATCATGGTTCAAGGGACAGCCAGGGCAGGAAAGTCCATGGAAATGAAGCTGTGACTCAAGTTGTAGAGTGCTAGACTTGAGTAAAAAAAAAAGCTCAGGGATAGCACCCTGAGTTCAAACTCCAGGACTAGCGCACGCACACGCGCGCGCGCGCACACACACACACACACACACACACACACAGGGATAGTACCCTGAGTTCAAACTCCAGGACTAGCGCACGCACACGCGCGCGCGCACACACACACACACACACACACACACACACACACACACACACACACACACACACACACACCCTGTGGATATTATAAGAATAGTCATATAGATCAATGGAACAGCAGAGTTCAGAAACAGATCTCAATCAATATATATAACCAAGTTCAAACAAAAATG